AAATGCTCCATCTATTCGTGGGAAGCAGCACATGCTGGAAACCGTGTCCAGCATCCCATAAGGACATTTAAGCTTCAACAAGGATCTTTTTTTGAGAAAAGTTAAACCACCATAAGGACATTTAAGCTTCAACAAGGATCTTTTTTTGAGAAAAGTTAAACCACCAGTACTTGGGCGACGCCTTAGCATTAACGCTACGCTATTTCCGCGGCCGGCGGGCCGTCGATAAATCGAATCGACAGCCCGTGCTGCTTCGAGATTTGGGCGGCCGGCGCGGGGCGCAGTGCCCAAGTACTGGTGGTTTAAGAGGACCTCCCCCTGCCAGCATTGATTCCCCTGGAATCCAGGGGATTAACTGAGCAGAAGTTCACGATCTGGACGCAGGAATTAGCGAGCGAATGCCTTTGTTCAGGTTCTCTCGACCGTACGTACGGAGGAGAGGCGTGAGCGTGTTTCCTATCTGTAAGGGATGCCGGACCAACACAAAGAACATCTGGACGTTGAAACCCGCTTCGCAAGATGGTTGGTTTTAAGTCGCGACCATCTTGCGTGCAATATGGTCATACAAGATGGTCACAAACATCTTGTATGTTACTATGTTTGGAACACATACTCCCTCCGTACGAGAGGGTCTTACACATGCATGCCCTGCTCTACAAGATGGTTGCACCATCTGCCGCGGCACCCACCAAATATGTTTAAACCTAGGCTACCAGCCGGGCTGCCCGGGTCCCAGGTGGACAGCCCGTGCAAGGACCAGGGAAGACCAGGCAAAAAAAAAAACAAAAAACGAAAAATTTCCAAAAAATCCGAAAAAAAACTATGAATGGAACAAAGCCATGAGCTTCCCATTCTTCTGGATTAGACTACTTCAGGTACCAGTCTCGGTGCTCCCCCATATTCAGGGAGCGGTGAAAAAGGCTTTCGGAACAGTCCTGCGCAGTACACCTGCCTTTGCTGACCCGATCTCACCCGACCTCTGGACCATTCGCTTTGACCTGACCCCATCGGCCAGACTGAACTACAAAAAGTTATTAGTAGTCGACATGGGTGACTATGGCTACGTGGAGATTGAAGTCGTCTGTGCAAATACGCTGTGGTGCAGCCAGTGCAAAAGATTTTTCCACAATGACTCTGACAAAGACTGTCCTAGGAATGATAAGTACAGGAAAGCGGTAAGGAAGGAGAAGGTTCCAGGGGAGGAGAAGGGAGATGTGGGAGAGAAGGGGAAAGGCACGGATGAGATACTCGAGAAGGCGGTGGCAAAGGAAAAGGGAACAGAAAATCCCCCCCCCCGGCCCGTCCCCCCTCCAACCGTGAAGGCCAAGTTAAAAGTAAAGCCAAGGAAAGTCAGACGTCAGAAGTGGAAGAAAAAAGAAATGAGAGAAAGCATCCCCAAAGAAAAGGAGGTGGTTAGAGTAGATTCAGCTTCTCCCCAGAGCAAAGCCGCATCGATCAACAAGGGGAAAGGGAAAGAAAGAGATGAGATGAAGCAGCAAGAAGATGGGGAAAAAGAAGAAGTAGAGAAGGGGGAGAAGTCTGAACAGGAGCGGAAGGAGGACACCTCCCCGGGTGAAGAAGGAGATAAACCCGGAAAAGAGGAGGAACCTGGGAAGTTGTTGGAGGATGGAGGGATGGGGAGCAGGAGCAGGGACTTGAAGGACAGCCAGGGTCAGGACCTTATGGAGATAGTTGACGAACTGGACCCGAAGGCCTTGGAGCTCCCTGCACAGAACCAGCCGCTCACGCAACAAACCCCCACCCCTTCAACTGACAAAGGGAACACAGAAGTCATGAAGGTAGGGAAGGATGGGGAGGGAGAGGGGGAGATGTTACAGGGTGAAAACCCCCAAAGTGAGCCGGGAAAAGAGGTGGAATCCGGGAAGTTGTCGGATGATGGAGGGAAGGGGAGCAGCAGCAGTGGCTTGAAAGACAGCCAGGGTCAGGACTTAATGGAGATAGTAGACAATCTAGACCCGGAAGCCTTGGGGTTCCCTGCACAAAACCAGCCACTCACGCAACAAATCCCCACCCCTTCAATAGAGAAAGGGAACACAGAAGTCCTGGAGGTAGGGAAGGTTGTAGAGGGAGAGGCAGGCACATTACAGGGCGACAACCCCCAAATTGACGAACAGAAAATTGATCTGTTATTCAAAGCAATGGACGAACAAAGGAAAAGGGACCAAAAAGGAGCGAAAAGAAAGAAGAAATCAGTTCCTAAACTGCAGGAGGGACTATTGGCTGGCCAAAGAGATTTTGGTTCGGAACCGACAAAGAAGAGCCGGTTAAACAATGGTTTAGATTGTTTCCGTCAGGTTTTTGGTAAGCAGTCAGAGAAGGAGGAGGAGGAGGACCCAGCACTCCACACAGGGAAAAGAACTCAGAGAAACAACAAGGCTAACTGGGAGTTAAGTTTTGCAGCCCCAATGCAGACGTTGGACCGCAAGGACAAAATCCGCAAGACAGTGAAACAAGTCCTGGTCCCACTAATTTGTACGACTACYCAGTTGGGCCTGTGTTTTCTTACTACCCAGACACCGGATGAATCCCTGGAATTACCGATAGTGTCAGTGCAAAATCAACTTTCTGAAGATCAAGTGGTAAGTCTGACACAGTCGGTAATCTTGAAAGGTATGGGAGCTGTTACTCTTTTGCAASAACCAAGGATGGGCAGATATTTAGTGAAACTGCAAGATGGGGAAAAGAAAATTCTTCATTTTGCCTTTTTGAGCCTGATATCCTTGGAGGGCACAAAAGAGCAGTGGCTTCAAATTCATCCTCACTGGATGCCTGGTGCCCCCTTCTTTGCATCAGACACAGACTTTCTGAGAAGCATCCGGTTGGGTAACGACCTGGATGCCCAACAGGTGGCTGACTGGCTAAATCACGCCGACGCACAATCTCAGATTCCTCCTAGTGGCCCAGTTATCTACGAATGGGACTCTGAATCGGACTTTCAGGACAAACTGGAACAGGTGGTCTCGGACATGGAAAAGGTGGTCTCGGACACAGATTTGGTCCCTGCTGAAAACCGCATCCAAGATACAGGCGGCATTGACCATGATAATGGTCTTGCCGAACAAGATTAGAATATTATCTTGGAATGTACGAGGTATGGGGGACACCTCAAA